TATACGAGTGAGCACATTATGTATTACTGATTTTATACCCTTTTCTACAAAAGCAGAACTTGGTCCAATATGTTTGGTAAACTGCAGACATTTTGCTGACTTGCAAGACATTAGGATTTAATGTCTACAGTTCCTTGCATCTGAAAACCAGGCGAGATTGTTATACATTCTACAGAGGAGCACCTTCAGTGATCAAAGCTATTGCCAGGCACAGGTAAACTAAAATTAAATGACAGTAGTTAATCTCCTACTCTTCCAAACAACAGGATTTCTAATATAAATTATCATGCATTCTAAAACAAGCATTCTTTTCATGGAGGCAAACACAGATGCTTCCAGAAAGAAAATTATTTTATCTAGTTACTTTCTGTAGTTGGGGTACAGAGATATTTTGGGCTTTTTGTTTGTGGGTCTCACCCATTATCATAATAAAAATTCACCCATGCAAGGTGTTATGTAACAAGAGGAACAGATGTTCTTCCACAGGAATACAGCATACCTCAGGCATGACACAGCTGTGGTGTAATTTGGGAGTGATTCAGAAGTTACTGCACAGAAATGGGCCAGAGAGACCAGCAGGAAGGAGCAGCAAAAGCTCAGCTGTGGTATTGTTAGCAATATTTAACATTCACATCCTGACAGTACTTTTCTCACATAGGCACAAACTGGTGGCATTGTAGGTATTGCTGTAACTCACGAAGGAATGTAAGACAGGAAACATATTCAGCATCACATTGGTTATCTCACATGCTTCACTGACACCGTGCTCTGCGCAGCTGGGAAGCCAGAAGGTATGGAAGTACCCGACTGTGATATATATATGAAAATACCAGTTTATAAGCCCTGAAAACATCCTGTTGGCTCAGATAATAAAATTAATGTTAAATATATTTAACAGAGAATACATAGTATCTATAATCTATAAGACTACTTTGCAGAAACCTTACAGATCTCCTAAACTTGAGAAACTTGATGGATGAGTTCTCAGAGAAGCTTTAAAAAATCCAAACAACTTTCTGTTAAAATCCATCCGGTCCATGGAAACATAAAACATTTATACAAATAAGATTTTAAAAATATCAGCATTTATCAATGCAGACTTGCCATTCCCCCTTCAAGAAAAAGAAATTTCCCTCTTAAAAAATCAGCAAACTTACACTGGTGGTTTAAACCAGTAATAGCCCATAGAGAAGGAATGTTATAAGCAATTGATAGTAAAAGGGTTTTAAAATCATGGGGATTTAGGGTTAAAAGGAAAATTAAGCGTAGTAGGCCCTGAAAAAAATTAATACCCTAGGTACATGAAGGCCTTGTACCTTGCTAGAACTGCACCTGTGTAGCTAGTACATGATAAATTATATAATTGTTAAATATGATGATTGTTTAGTAATTAAGTATAATTACTGTTTAATCGTAAGATAATAATGAGAAACTGTGGTCAGGGGCCTAAGAAAGATCATGAGAAACTCATGCTTGAATAAAGTCAATGTATACAATAGAACAATATAAGTTTAATAATTAATATGTAAATTATATAACGATAGCATATAAAATACGTTCAGCTCGAAAGTCATGTCAGAGTCAGATTTGGGTCTGTAACCCTGATTCCCAGAGCTCTCAACAAAAGCACCTGCATAGAATCATATCCTGTGATTATGTGTGTTCCTGAACGCTAACACAATGGACTTCAAGGAGTGTAAGAGGGCAAGGAAGAATGGATAAATTGTACATTTGACCAGGGACTGTACACTTTTTCACTCAGAGAAATATATAATAGCAATCTGAAGGAAGATGAATTAAATATATTCCTGTATAGTCACTATTCTTCAAACTCAAAACTTCTGTCTTGATTATGCAATTTGTAAAATTTCAAGGATTGCATGTAAAATATCTTTTTTTTTAGCATGACCTTTGTTTAGAGACCCATTTTCAATTAGGGAAAAATGAGCAAGAATTATAAATTGCAAAGAGAACTAGGGACAGTTCAAAACGTCTGGTGTAGAGCCCTGTATTGAAAACAAAACCATGTCCAAAACACTCATTTTGGGAGCCAGCATTGGCTAAAATGAACAACACATTACCACGCAAAGAAGATCTGTTGACCTCCCATTCTAATCATCTGCTTTTTAACCAAATTATCATCCCGTCCTTACAAGAGGTTTCACTTTTTACATGGACATTGTCTAATGTGTTTGCTGGACTGAATGATGCCCAGTGAACAGTGCAAGCCTGCAGGAAACATGCACTTACACTTACTTTTGGAGTCTGCTTCAGCTGTGGGCTGACCGTAGGTGCTGCCACTTCCTAGGATAGGAATCCGGTCTGCTTTCTGCCTTACAAAACAAATTAAAATTTCAACACTTCCTTAGTATCTTGCTGAGTTGTGTTGCAAGCACTGCTGACTGGATCAGGAGTGTCTAAGGCTTTCTCACCTCAATGTGTCACTCACCATGCTCTGCAGAACCTTAAGCCCTTTGTGGCTAGACAAGAATGTTGTTTTCAGTTTCAGGTGCTGTGACAAAAGCCACAATCTAACAGCCACCTGGAGATGCTGACCCAGGGAATCTTCCTTCACTGCTCCTGCCCACCACATTGGCACCCGCAGGACATGCTTCAGCTGAACAGCAAATACACAGGACTCTGGAAAGCTGTAGCCCTGTGTAAACCTTTATATGGCCATTGTAAACAAGCCCTGCTGTCCCCAAATATGTTCTTGCACCTGGTGTGCAGAAGGCCAATCCATGCACAGAATAGAGATTCTAGATTTATTTACAGACCTGTGAAGCAATGGGGAGTTGGTGGCAAATCTGCAAAGCCAGCACCATGCCTCCCAGAACTTTTTACTATTTATACATTTTAGCAAAAATAGGAATTAACGTTCATTGGCTGCATAGTTCTCTTATTAATTAGTAGCCTTCTATAGGTTAAGTGAGTCCCTCCCTTCTTATGTTAATTACTCTGCATGCTCAGTCTTCACTTTTGGGTCAGTGGTTGCATTTCCTGCTGCTGGAATTACTTTTTACCCAGTCATTCCTGATTCAATGCAATTGCTGAGTTCCTTTACTAGTTTCCTTCTTTTCCTGGGGATTCTGCCAGATGTCCTCATGGCTTGTAAATGCTGCATTCTTTGTGTCCACCATCAGTGGTACATCTTACTCCCGAAGCTTTGCAAACCTCCCCTAGGTCTGAGATCACTGAAGCCTTCCAAGCCCTAAACCTTAATAAGGCAATTCTGCCCAAAAAGTAGTTTGTTTTTCTAACACCTGGACATCACTTAGATCTGTTGGCTGCTTTCTGTTTCAGGGATTAAATCTTTCTTCTTGTTGAAAGTTTATAAAGGTAATACATTAAAGAATATCCCTTCTTAAAAAAATTTTACGTCTTCCACATAAATATATTTTAAAATATATATAAATATAAAAATGTAATACATTAAAGAATATCCCTTTTTTAAAGTTTTTATGTCTTCCACATTTTGCAACAGTACATTCCTCTTCTAGGTACTGTCAATTTCCCCCTAAGTTGTGACACTGAAGCACATTGAACCTTAAACCTTAAGGTTGAGGCCATTTTACTTACAAATAACTGATCTTTTGAACACCTGGATAAACATGCCATATAATCAGTGAACAACTGGCTGACAGGTTGGGCACGAAGAGATACAGCGACTGGGGTGACACCAAGCTGGTGGCCTGTCACTAGCAGGGTTCTGCTGGGCTCCATCCTCGGCCCTGCGCTCTCCAATATCTTCATAACCACCCTGCATGCAGGGCTGGAAGGGAGACTCGGCAAACTGCAGATGACACAAGACAGGGAAGAGCTGCTGACTCCCTCAAAGGCAGGGAGGCCCTGCAGAGACCTCCATGAACCGACCCAGGGCAATCACCAGCTGTGTGCAGCTCAACAAGGAGAACACTGGACTCTGCACCTGGGATGGGGCAGCCTGCGTGTATGGACAGACCGGGAATGAGAGGCTGGAGAGCAGCACCATGGGAAGGGACCTGGAGGTCCTGGTCCCTGGCGAGTTGAGCATGAGCCAGCAGTGCCCTGGCAGCCAGGAGGGACATCCCTGTCCTGGGTGTGTCAGGGCCAGCATCACCGGGGCAAGGAAGGGATTGTCCCACTCTGCTCTGGGCTGGGGTGGCTTCACCTCCAGTGCTGGGGGAAGCCTGGGAAACCACAATGTAAAAAACATCTAAAGCCACTAGAGAGTGTCCAAAGAGATGGTGAAGGAGGAGAAGCCTTGTGAGGAGTGACTGAGGGTCCTTGGTTTGCTCAGCCTGGAGGAGGCTGAGGGGAGACCCCATTGGAGTCTGCAAATTCCTCATTGGAAGGGGAAGAGGCAAGTCCTGATCTCTTCTCTGGGGAGCACAGGGACAGGACACAAGGGAATGGCCTGAAGCTGTGTCAGGGGAGGTTTAGGTTGGGTACCAGGTAAAGGTGCTTGCCCCAGAGGGTGTTTGGGCACTGGAACAGGCACCCAGGGCAGTGCTCACAGCTCCAGCGTGACCGAGTGCAATAAGCCTTGGACAATGCTCTCAGGCATTCTGTGACTCTTGCCTGGGATTTGGGACACAAGGATGCAGGTAACAGGACAGGAGATGCGACTCGATGATCCTGACGCGTCCCTTTCAATTCAGCCGATTCTGTGACTCTCAGCGATCACTACAAAGCGACACTGCCCGACACGCGTGAGCAGAGCGGCCCTGGCGCAGGCCCAGCGAGGCGGAGCCGCGGTGCGCCCGCACGCCCGGGGCTGGGCGCGGGTCCCGCTGCCCGCCCTCCCTCACGCCATCGCCGCCATTCCCAATCCGCGGCCAGCCACCGCCCCTGACTCGTGACGTCACGGTCGCGACATATCGCGGGGTCGCGTGACGCAAAGCAGCGGTCACCCCGCCCCCGCGGCCGGCGGACCGCGCCGCCATTGGCTGCACCGGCGGGGCGGTCGCGCTCTGATTGGCTGGCGGTATCGCGCGCTGTCGGGCGGGCGGCGGGTGAGCGCGGGGCCGGCACGGCGGGGCTGCCCTGAGGGACGCGCGTCTGTCCCGCCCTCCCGCCGCGTCCCGGGGCTGCCGCTGCCGTGGCGGCTCTCGGCCTGAGCCCTGATCCTCGGCTTTAGACCCTGGCAGTCGCCCTCTGCCACCCGAGCCCGGCTGGGAGATGTGCGTGTGTGCGCGCGGCGCTGTTTTCCTCATCCTCCGTTCGGGTTTGGAAGATCCGCGCTGCTGCCGGCATCCCTGACTCCGTGCCTTGTTCTGCTCTGTGTCTGTGTGATTAGGCACCTCCGCGCGGGAGAGAAGCTGATGGATCCCCTGCCCAACCCCGCGCCCCTGGCCTCGAAGCTGCGGAACACGCTGGTCCGGTATCACAGCATCGGAGACGGAGAGTGGCGGGTGGCGAGGAAAACCGTGAGTGCTCGGGGCAGCTCCCCGCTCCCGCTCCGCAGGCAGCTGTGGCTCGCCGGCGCGGCGGAACTGCCCGCGGCGCCGCGCCCTGCCGGACTGCAAACCGACAGACGCTGTGACACCATCCCTCTAGCATGTCTTTAGATGGCAGGATGTGTTTTTCCTGTTCCCAGGCATACTCTGTCATTTCTTCCACCCGTTCTCAGGGGAGTATCTCACGGAAGAACCTGTGTAGGTTTATAAGCTTGACTCACAACAAAATCTGAAGTATTTAGCATTAATAATGCTGCAAGAGGCTCACGTGTACTTTCAGCAAAGCAGGCACAGCTTGCCGTCGTCTGGAATCTTTTGTCAATAAATAGTTCATTATACTTCAGATTCCAGATGTTTTCCTCTTACAAAATGAGATAATTCTCAAGGCTTCCTCTCATACTGTTTCAGTTTTCTGTTGTTCTTTAGAGACCATACCTTATCATAAGTTTCCTTCCATGAAAGAGAATAAAATTCCTGCTTTCTCCAGGCAGTTTGTCATCCTCTTCTTTTGAGCTTCCTGGTTGTTTTTTTTTGAGTTGTGCTTCAACAAGTTAAATAGCCTTTGCTTGTGCATCAGTTCTAGGCTGGGTAAGTGCTTTATAGTGCTGTGCTCCACAGAGAGTAGAAGTGTAGCAAAATAGTAGGACTAGTGTGGTAAATTTCTACCTTTATCTTTTTGTTACAGTGGTTTGAGTAGTGCTTTTATTTTTTTCTTCCATCATGAGCAGACACTGGTAAGACAGGCAACTGTTCCAAATGTAACTTGATTATTTGCAAAATTAATAAATTTTCTGTCCGGAGAGGGAGGAACAGAGCATACAAGCCTTTCACTCTTGCAATACACCTATACCACCTCTACTAAATATTGTCTATTCCTGTATTAATATTTCCTGTGTTGTTGTATTAAGTGCTACTGTATTCCTTTAAAAAGTTACTGCATCCTTGTGTTCCAAATCCTCAGATTTTTCCCCTCTCTCCAGCCTTTCCTTCCTCTCTCCTTTCTCTCATGCCCTCTTTCCATTTTGGTATTGTGCCATGTAAAAGAAATCCAGTGCTTTACCTACCACAAGGAGATGTGTTGTGACCCAAAATACCTTAAATTAATTTGGATGTGGTACTTAACAGGACTGTTCTTAAGGACATTTGGTCCTTTGTGCTTATATAATCATGACTCCAAAAAAAGTGGTGCCATATGGTACTCTTTTCAACACCAAAGTTCAAACATTTTGTACAGAGGTTCCCAAGATACTGGTTTCTCTATTTTCTCTGCATAACTTTAAAATAAATAGACTACTGCTTGCAAGACTCTTCTAGTCAGGCACCCCGGAGAGAAAGGTAATTGAGCTTTCTTGTCTGCGCCTGCACCTCATGCACATTTCTGTAACTTGTGTTACAGGAGTACGAACAGAAGTAGTGTACTTTTCCTGTCTGAGTAGTGTCTGGCTGTTGGCTTTCCAGTGGCCTTGCAATTGAAAGGTTTTCCCTGCTAATGTTGTTCCATTATTCTGTGTGTTTTCACAATAACCTGATTGGCCTACCGAACCCTACTATTGCACTTCTAGCATTTGACTCTGAGAAAGCCAATTTTCTGATATTTTTAAAATAATAGAAAATTACAAGTAAAAGATACCTGAAAAATCTGAAGAAAACTGTGCGGTGGTGCCCAGGTGAATCATGGCTAATGATAAAGTTGCCTGCTTTTCTTCAATGAAACTGAAGCATTTTCTGGACTTCTTCTAATTGTATCCAAGTGACAATTAACATTGTGTCGTATATTTTCTTTCAGAAAGATGCAACTGTGTGGCGTAAACCATCAGAGGAATTCAGTGGATACCTGTAAGTTCACCTGCCAAGAGATACATCTTTAATTTTCTATGGATGTGTTCTGTAGAATTTAGAAATCAAGACTGAATTCTACAGCCCTCAGCTACACAGATCCTCCAGTGGGGAAGCTAAATGGGTTACCTATTGTGGCTGTACAATTCCTTTCTAGTTTTTCAGTTTGATACTTTAGCATTGCATGGGGTCTAAAATAACATCTGTGGAAGTCTGTGAACACCACAGGGCTCCCTTGGCTGAAGTGGAAACAGCATCTGCCCAGAAATGATGTCCTGCAAAGCTCAGAATCAGGCCTGGGCTCAGTAGTCTTGAAGGGCCACTGGGTGACAGCTCAGTAAGTCCTAGGACTCTTGCAGTGACTGTGCAACTCCAAAATACCAAGTGTATACTTGTGGGAATTTGTCTGGGGTTGTTTGTGTGACATAAAGGCCCTTCCTGTGTGAGTTTCTGTCACTGAGTTCTATTGGTATCTGTAGGTTTAGGTAGAGAAATAATTACTAAAAGACAGCACTCTGAAGAAACAAAAAGTGAAAAGATAGTGTTTAAAATTATTTCAAAGACTGATACACCCCGTGGAATATAAGTCCTGTTGAATCTGTGAGAGCTGATGGCCCCAGACACCAAGAGTTCCATGGGCCCACTGGCACCAGCAGGTTGTGTAGTTGAGCCATTGCCAGGGTGCAGTGACTGCTGTGTGCAGGTGAAGACCCCAGGGTTGTTTGTGCACCTGGAGAACTAAAAGACACTTTGAATAGCTTTCCAGACACTTACCTGGAAGCCACTGACATGTTCCTGTGGTCTTCCCATTCCAAGTATTCGGCTGAGATGGGCTCCATACAGATGATTATGAGTGAACATGGGTGAACTGCACAACTGAAGAGGTGAATCTGTTGCTTGGTTATTTACTATAAATAAAAACATCGTAATGAATACAAAGTATTTTGAGAATAATGATTTTGATGGATTCTTCCTCTTCATGATTTGGAGGCCCAGTAACTCAAGAAAACAAAATCTCTGGTGTCTACTAAAATATCTAATTACAAATGAGTATTCTGTAATGTCATGTACCAACTTATTTTATTTTGTAATCGTACGCCACTAAAGCATAATATAGTTTCTCATTAGCTTGGTTCTACTCCTGTCTTATGATCTGCTCTAATCAGAGAGGAGTAAAGAGAGCTAACTCTCTGTGAATAAAGCAGAATGAACCCAAAAACATTTGCATGTTTCCCTAAACTTGATTAAAACCAGACAAGCTAGATGTTGATACTGAAAAATTGACACATTTTATTAAATAGTAAAAGAGGCAAACAAAAAGGGGGGAAAAGGGAGGTATGTTTGGGGGGACAAGGAGAGTGACAGAGGTAAGGTAAGTGGAAACATATTATCCCTCTGTAGGTCCTAATGATGTCTCACTGCTCCCCTCAGTCTAGTCTTCTTGGTGGTGAGGGTCCCCCATCCAAAAGTCTAGAATCCCATGGATTAATATATATTTGGGCAGGTGGGAATGCCGAGGTGCAGGTGCCTCCCCTGAGCGGGGCAAGTTTGACACTGTCCCTTGCATGACTCTGGATCTGTTGCATCATGTGCAGTTCTGCTGCAGGGTCCAGGGAGCCCTTTAATGGGCATGACAGCCGCTCTGCTGTCCCTCATATGGATGTCCCTTAAATGAGGCTTTGCCGGGGTGAAGAGGCCCCACAGCTGAGCTGGTGTGCACAGCAGAGGATGGACTTTCACTGCCTCAGAGCAGAGGCTTTTTCACCACACACCCAAAATGCCTTCTCCTCTCCGTTTTGGTGTGAGGGTCTGTTCCAGCCTGACAGCAGATAAGCCTGGGACTGTGGCCTCCACCTGAAGGTGCAGGGTTTAATCCTGTGAAGTATTTTTCTTCCCCAGCCCAGACCTGAGTCATTTTATCTTATCAAATGGATTTACAGACCAGGGCCTCAGTCAGGAGGCCCATTAAGGGTGCTTATGTATAGCTTTTGTTATACAGTTTTGATATAATATGCAGAAGTCCTTCACAAAACTGTTTGAGCCATAAACCAAACATTTCAATCTCCAGCATACTGTTACTTCTGCTTTATGAAAAATGTTTTTCCCATGATATTCCTGATCTCCTTTTTACTTTAGGTTTGCTTACCTCTGGTGAACTCTCTTGCTAGCCAAGCAATAGGAGTAAAATGACAAGTGCTTACAGTTGTTAGAGAAACAAACAAAATTTTTTATCCAATGAAGGCATTTGTCATTTATAAAATACTAACTGTGTAAAAAAACCCCAATTTTTTGGAAGAAAATTTCTTGCAGAGAAGAATAGATGGCTCAATAGGTGTGTCCTCTACTGTTTCTCTGATGCAATTGTCCACTGACTGTACTTCCTGGTACCAAGGTGTTAATGTAAGTGTACTGTTGAAAATTAATAGAATATACAGGATTTCTTACTAAATGTAAACACGTTTTTCTAGCTACAAGGCTCAAGGAGTGGTGGAAGATGTTACTAATAGAATAGTGGATCATATTCGCCCTGGACCTTATAGGCTAGACTGGGACAGCCTAATGACTTCAATGGACATCATGGAAACATTTGAAGAGGTGAAGACTGGTTTAGATTCTTAAGGGAAATGTGTATTGATGAATGCATGAATTTAACATTCATTAATTTAACATTCATGTAGAGCAGAGCAATTCCGACAGATCTGAACCTTTTTCAGCCTTTTGCATGCACAAGCAGCATTGTGCATACATACTCTGTATGACCACATATCAGATTCTCTGGCAGCACAGTCCTATTCTGAAGCTTGAAGTTCATCTTTCCATTAATGCTAAAAATAAAGGAGTCAGTCACAATTCTTTTGGACCTTGGAGCTCTGGTAGGCTCTGATAAAATTTGCATACAGAAGGCTACAGTGTGATACTATGTATGCCATAGTCATTTCATACAGCTTGCTTTCTTCTGTTCCACAGCAAACAATACTAACAGTCCACACATATGGAAGCTGCAACCTCCCCCTCTTTCTGCAGGGCTGACTTGTGTAGCATGACCTTGTGCTGAGACACAAAATAGTTCATAATGAGGGTCAGGACTTTATAAAAGAAAGGTAGGTTTGAAGCTTGTTGCAGAACAGCTAGTAACCTTCCTTTGGTAAATGCCGACATTCAGTACGAATTCAAAACCCTCATCTGGACATATGGCTTGAACATGGGTTGTCTTTTGCTCTGTCTTTGAAGAAAGATTTATATTACAAGGTATTTTGTTTGTATAAAATTTATAAAGACTCTACTGTATTATAAGAAAGCCTTTTTTGATGAATTGTTCTTCAGTTTTATTTTTCACTTAGTGGCTTAAAACTATTTGATAGAGTGTCTTAATACCAAGAGATTTCTCTTGAAGTTTGTTCATGGTCCTTTTTGACTTCCCAAGTGCTCCCTGGCAGCCTAAGAGCCACGTGGCTTTCAGTTGTCAGGCATGCCAAAATTGTGTAAGATTTTTAAACCTTTATGGTGCCAGATATTCTCTGCTTCCACACCTCTCAGTTGTAGACCACAAGTCCTTAAAACTTCCAGCTTTTAGGTTGAGAATGGCACAGCCATTCAGACCTCACTGAATTGGCAGTATAGTTGACAGAGGCTATGACCTTCATGAAAATGTTAACTGCCTGCAAGCATTATGTTTCCCTGTATTCATTATACTAAGATATATTTATTTTTTTGCCCTTATAATTCTGTCACTCCACAAGAACTGCTGTGTGATGCGCTATACAACTGCTGGCCAGCTCTGGAACATTATAGCACCAAGAGAGTTTGTTGATTTCTCTTATACTACAAGCTATGAAGATGGGCTTCTAACATGTGGTAAGCCACCACCTGCCTCTGCTAAATTCTTATTTTGCAACAGTTGCTTGGCTTAAGATTTGATTCAGATTTAGTAGTAGTAAACATTCCAAAAATGGTCTAAGATGGTCTTCAACAGATAAATTCAAGGTGTTTTAACAAATTTAAAGGTGTTTTAACATTTTACATATTTAAGGAAGTGTACAAGTTACTGGTTTACCCATGAACCATTCCTTTCTGCCAGGTTTCACTTACGCCAGCTTGTATTAGAGACAAGTTGAGTCCTCCAGCTCAGCTCTTAGAGTAAACTGGGATGAGTAACAACTTGCTTCTTGTGAATGGGAAGAATGTTCTCTTTTAACATTTGAACTTTTGCTTATCATGCTCTCCTGTCTGTCTCTGAGTTTGGATGAACAGCAAATTTCATGCATGAAAATACCCAGAAACTTGCAGTGTGCCTGTCAATACTACTATTAATTCTCTAACCAGAAACTTATATATTTCAAATTTACTGCATGTTAATTTTTTTTTTTAACCTCTCTCAAATTAATTTCCCTTTTTGTTCATTTGTTTTATTTTCCTTGATAGGCATAAGCCTGGACTATGGAGACGTGAGACCAAACTTTGTCCGTGGATTCAATCACCCTTGTGGCTGGTTCTGTGTCCCTCTCAAGGACTCTCCTGGCCACAGTCTTTTGACAGGCTACATCCAGACTGAACTGCGAGGGATGCTACCACAGTCTGCAGTAGACACTGCTATGTCTAGTACTCTGGCCAATTTCTACTCTGACCTCAAAAAGGCACTCAAAACATAGACAAACAGTGACCTAAAAGCCAGTGCATTCCTTGCAATCAGATTGTGTTGTTTAGCTTAGCATTAGTTACGTACTAAATTGAGGTAACACTCTTACCGAATGACACCCATGACACTGAACCTTTGTGTTGAGGATCCAAACAACTTTAGCAAGTGCTTTTTCATGTGACAATTGGCATATATTCCCAGTGCATAGTGCGAGATGCTTTCTGCAGCTCAACGCTCTGCAGCTTTGTGAGGAATAGCCTGAATCTCTACTGAATCTTTCCTCAGTAGAAAGCACAAAATGTGTGTGTGGGCTTGAAAAATGCAGTCTGAGCTCAGCTCTCTCCAGCAGTTTTGGGAGCCAGGTGCTCAAGATTTTGATGCTGCAGGTTGCTGTGCAGGCAGCATCTCATTGAAGGTGTAATTTTGTAATATATATATATTTATATTTGCCTAAAATTTTTTAAAGTTTATTCAGCTGCATCTGTAATTTGTTTTTAAAATTTACTTTGATTTATCATGTGGATATTATATAGCGAAGTTGTTAAATTATACTATTCATAAGAAAGCTATTTGTTCTTGAGGGCAAAAATAAATGTTCATTATTGGCATTTATTCGATGTTGTAACTGTAACTTATTTACTGTTGTACATAACAGTCTCAGTGCATAAAGAAAGGCCCCTTACAGCTGATCCGAAGCTCATTTAGGTCATAAGATGTCTTTCCACAGGGTTTTTTTGTGGGCTTTTAATCACACAATTGTCAAAATACAAACCTCCAATTGATCTTCTGTGATACCCTGTACTTCTAAGGAGTTATTAACTTAAATTTGCATGTAATAGTGTGTGTGGGGATTTGATTTGGTTGGGTTTTTGGGGGGGTTTTCTTTCTGCATATATTTCCTTAACTGCAAACCCTGAAATTGCAAAAGCAACAGAAAGAGCCACTTGTTTGCTTCAGGGGTTGGTGTTGTTGTAGCCACAGCTGGACAGAGTTCCAGTGTTCTGTCAGTACTGCCCCTAGATTGATCTTTGCAATAAATTAACACCTTAAAACATGAACAACTGAAGGCCAAAGCTCAACTGCAGAATTGCTGAGATCTGCTGAAGTATACAGGGTCTATTTTTAAGATGCAAATTTCAAGGATTCTAGTGATTCTGACAGATACATAGCAGCGCATTTAAAAAATAACTCTTTCCCTGCTAGGAACATAAATTCTCATTAAAATCTGATGTTTAGCCTTTAATGCTGGTATGTGTCATTTGCTCAAGTGACACTGTAGTTATCCCCCATGTTTTGCCAGTGCTCACAGTGGTAAGTTTAACTGTGTAGGAGTTTGGGAAGGTATCTTGGATCCCTGATATTGTGGAACCAATTGTATGCATACAATACAGAGATGGGTAAGGGACTCCCAAGAAGCCAAAAATTCAGATGAAAGTCCCCAGCAGTATTTGCTTTTTTGACATTGGCCACTGTAACTGAACTCTGAATTGTGACAACTTTCCTTTTTTGTTGCTCAACCAGAGAGCTTAAAAATATGTAATACCAGATATAGTGGAGGCTTCTTCAAGCTCCTTCATGTTTTAAGGTATTTAGTACTATTTAAAGCTGTTAAAAACAATGCATCAAACAGGCTTTGGTGTCTTCATGGTCAAAAACTGTTAACTCCTTGTTAGGGTGTTAGGTTTTATGTAGTCTGCCTTTCCCTTTAAATCCCTCAATTAGTCTTCCCTTTTTTTCCTACCTTCCTTGTCTGCCAAAGTACTGCAGGCTCACAAGGTGATCTTCTACTGCCAAGGTCACCAAGGAATTGCTGCCAGAATCCTCTCCTGTCTAGTACGGGTACAGAGGCAATTATGAAATCTCTGGCAGTGCTGCTCCATGGGATGAATGATGACATTATTGTAGAGGAAACTTTGAAGTGTATCCTATTTTTTCTTCCCAGTTACAAAGATTACATGTGCAGTGAATCTGCATATTCATGTCTTCTCTTTTTAGAGCGCTGGGACTGACTAATGGAGGGGTTGTGATACAGATGTACACAGAGAAAAATATTGCCCAGTTTAAATCTGCACAGAGGTACTTCAGTGCAGGGTCAGAAGGAGCACAAGACACAGGAGGATGTTTGTACAACACCAGGCACTGAAGAAGTAATTGCTCCAAACACTTATTTTAGTAGCTCTGACACATACAGTATCTATCCATATTTAGTATCCAGTGAAATGGCTTTTTCTGCTTTCAGTAGAGACAAGTTGGTGAAGCACAGTGCAGCTAAAGAAAGAACTTGAGCTAAAATAAGAAAATTGCTAGTGTATTTTTGTATATTGGTACTCATAAAAATTTCAGCTACACACTATTACAGAACTAAAAAGAAGATGTCCAATTTCAAATGTATTTATTTGAACCTGAAATTTATATTATTTTTGTATATCTATAGATGGAGAGGGAAGAAGAACTCTTCTTTAGCCAGAGTACATCAGAACCAAGAAAGCTAAAATATCAGAGCCTCTTCTCCCACTGTTGCATTCTCCTCCTGCCTTAGTGGAAAATCTTGGTGGAGTCAAGAGAGTTAAAAAAGGAAAGCAGTGTCAAGGACAAAGTGCTGGAACCCATGTTTTGCTTATGCAGAAGAAATGGGAGACAAAGTAAATGCTTAGTACAGATTCTATCACTTAGGAATATAGCTATCCAGAAGTGACTTCTGAAGAAATTGCCCAAGAATAGCAGAGATCTGGTTTTGCTAGACAAATAGCATGTATATAGACATATCACATTTATTTTTATATGGCTAATAATTTTTAAACTTACTTTTTTAGAGATTTGGGCAATGTGACACTTTATGCTTTAGCACTTTAACTAGGTGCTTTGTATGTGTGTGGGAAAGATGACGAAGATAAGACAATTTTCATGTTTGGGTTCTGTTCCTTGTCTGAAATTTCCAGCATTAAACTTTGCCTGTGATGTGCAGAAGATGCAGAGCTGGGATTAAGCGTAATTTAGAGGCAGTCAAAGTACTGTACCAAATCTGGCTGAGAGGTGGACAGGTACTTCAGAGAGATATTCTGTGCACAGGCCCTCATCTCAAATTTGATGAAATTATAAATGTGAAACATGCTGAATTTATAAAACACAGCATATATAATTCCTTCAATAATCATAAGTAGCCAGAACAGTTTTGATGGTGTGGCCCTGGTTGTTTAACCTAGGAGGTTCACTGTTGAAAAAATAGCGCTAATGCTAAAGAAATCACTCAAGTTGTGCCTGTGAAAGTCAAAGTCTGTTTTAACAGTGGGTTTAAATTACTGTGTTCAGCATTTAAGCGATTGTATTTGCATTTTGAGTGCAACTGCAGAATAAATAATGGATTCCAACAGGCTTGTGATGTAGCTTCTTCAATACTTGTGCAGCCATATGTAGCATTTTTGGGAGTTATGTCTGATGAGGTGTCTGATCTTCAGCTGCATGGTGATCTCTAATGATACTAGTTGGTCTCCTTGAATTTGAAAGCCATAAAGCCTACCTTCACTTAGAAACTTGATTTAGACTGAGGAAAATGCCCAACTGAAATGTCTTGAAAGCTGTATAAGTAGGATTTTCTCAAGGCTTCAGTTCTAAAAATGTATATGCAGGAGTTTTTTTATTATGACTCCATGATTGTTGTGGAATAACTATTATTTTGGCTTAGTATTATTTACCTTTTTGATGTTTAAGAAGTGATCTATTAACCATAAACATTAAGCTAATTTGAAACACATAAGCATAAAGCATCTGGCAGAAGGCATATAGATGTGTATTAGGTGTATAAAACAAGCTGCAACATATATATTGACTTGTATTTAATTAGCACCTACAGAAATGAAGAAAATTCCTATATCTCTTCTAGAGCCTTCCCTTGTTTCTCTTGAGAAGCTGGCATAAAGGCAGTAGAGTTCTAAAGCATTTGAATTCAGTGGAAAGAATTGTAGCCTTCTGTTGCTGAGAGAAGGAACTGTCACCTCTGAGAAATAGCACACTCTTGTAGGGCATGTGTCATGTCACCTTCTGCAAAGTGTAGTAGGGATAGGTATAGAGGCCACTTGGGATCTTTGGAAAATCCTTGAGGACATTAATTACTAGAATTGCTAAAATGCTGATACTCAAACCCATTTCCTGGTGAAAGATCATAGAAAGATGAGAAAGATTTTAAACCTATGCTAAATATTAAATGTTTTCTAGAAAAGAATATATCCTGAAGTCCTAAACCACAATTTATACTTTTTAACACATTCCACCATTTCCAATCCTCATTGGGCTGTGCTGGTGACTCAGTTTTACAGTTCAGGTAGGGACTGGTTATCATGGAGTTAACCTTCCTTGGGATTGTGCCACTGGCAGGGAGAAAGCAGACACAGATGGTAACAGCATACAGCAGGGGATAATCTGTGCTTATTTCATAGCTGACCCACATGATAAGAAATGCCGCACCTGGATTAAGGAGCCTCAAATACCAACACATTACCTAGAACTGCCTTCTCCAGTGTTACTTTCCTTGAAACATTTCTTTCAGTGTGCCAAGACACTAGGACAAGGTAATAATCCTCTGAAGTTTTTCTCTGATACAGGTAACCTAAGTGGAACTCTTAGAGGATCAGTTACTGCTTGAAATGTGACCAGAAATTGACCTTGTTCAAGTCCTTACTGTCCTGGGATGCACAAGGGTAGAAAGCACTTCTTGAGCTCTGTACCTGGGCCTTGCTGACCTGCCTGCCAGCACAGACCCCTCTCTGGGGCAGTTTATAACCCTGGAGAGAAAATCATTATGCCAAGATTTCCTGAATGTCTCAGCCTGTCAGTCTGAGGTGATGCCTGCAATTTGGGTTCCAATCAGGGAGCATTACTGCTGAGGCATTGGTGTCACCAATTCCACCTCCAAGGTGCACTGGGAAGGCAAGGCAATGCTTGAATGGGTGCGTTTGAACAGCAGCAAACACGAGTTTGGTCAGCCCATGTTATTTGGGTGCCATACAACTCCTCCTTGTCTGTATGCCTAACAGGATTTCAAGCTACTCACAATTTGAAGGGGGAAGGAAAGAAGCCACAGCAGGCCTTTTCACTGGAGCATAAGCCATGTCTCCACAAGCCACCATCTTTTCTGCATACAGGATTAAGGATGCAGCCTGTATGTGCACAGCCATATCTGCAAAATTTCTCCCTGTCTCAATCAGCTAAATGAAAATAAATGCTCAACATGGGCAAAACATCTTTCTGTTCTGCTGTGTGCCTTCCAGCCCACACCATGGGACTAGAGCTTCAGTGCAAATGAAATTGAGGAAATCTGGTGACCACCACAGCTACCAAAGAAGTAAAGAAGAGGGAAGAGACACATCATGCAATTTTTTTTAAATGTCAAATGAAAGTATGGAGAATTCACCATGGATATAAAAATATTGAATCACTTCCCAAAACCACCTGCATTGTTGGATATTTGGGACACAAAGTTTCTGAGACATGTGCAATGTTGAAGGAAACGAATGCTAGAACTGCTGAGAAGGATGTCGTAACTACAAAAGCCCAGGTGTTTTTAAAGAAGGAGACTGCACCAGGCATCCACAGAAATGAAGAAATTTGATAGTTAT